GCGGAGACGATGAGGTCCATGACGAGGAAGGCGTAGGGCAAGCTCTGCTCGGAGGTGATGGAGGCACAATCAGCCATGTGAATCATGACGTATTTTGCCCAATTGATGGAGGCGCCGTGCATGATCGCATGAATTGCCCTCAAGTCGTCGTTGAAGAGCGAGGTGTGGCTGCCATCCCGGGGGTGGAGGATCCGGGTGAAAATGTAGAGGAGGAGGCGCTTCTCCGGTGGGGCCGAGTGAATCGTCGGTGCGCCGCTGTGATGGACGAGGTTGGTGATTCCCAGCTCTCGGATGACCACCGCCTCGTTGTTGAGGATCCAATCATCGCCGCCATATGATGCGATGTCGTCACCGCGGGTGGGCAGCCCTGCGACCCGAGCAAAAGTGGCTAAGTCGAACTCTATGTCATGGAGGTTGATGCTGCTCCGGATGGTGTCCCCGTCTCGGCGGAGATTGGAGTAGAAGGCCCGAACATAGGCGGGATTGAAGGTGGTGCGACTCCTGGAGACAAAGGGCCACAAACCCGACTCCTTGAGTTGATTGTCAAGGTCGTGGTACCCCTTTTGTTGAGGGTATAACTCGGGCAGTATCCTAGGCGGAGAAATAGGACGTTTGGCGAAGTACGAGAGAAACCGTGTGAGTTCCTCTTCCGACCCGAACTCAAGAAACGAGCCGTCCAGGTAGGGAAACGGCGAGGGCGCAGAGGTCGTAGCTTCGGCGTTGCCCTTCTCCTTGGAAGCCTTTGTCTTCTTTCCTCCGGCCATGATTGAAGCAAAATGATGAAGAATTATGTAAAAGAGGAGATTTTGAAGTGAAAAAGGTGTGTTAAAATGAGTAGAGATGAAGGATATATATAGGAAAGGGTGAGAAAACCGTTTGAATTTGAAAAAAGTGACTGTTGGGCCATAAATTCGGTGACCAACGGTTAAAAAATTTGAATTTGCAGCAGGCTTCCCAGCGATGGGTGGAACTTCCCATCGATGGGATGGTCGACACTGGAAAGCGAAGGGGAAAACAAGGCTGCCTTCCCATCGATGGTCAACCACACCCATCGATGGGAGGGTGGCTACTGGAAATCCGTTAAAACGTTTTTAAAAAAATAGTGTCAAACACCCAGCGATGGGAGAAAGTTCCCATCGATGGGTAGGGAGGTTCTGGAAAAATTTGACAAAGGTCCTTCACCCAGCGATGGGATTAAATACCCATCGATGGGTAAGGTGTTTCTGGAAATCCGTTAAGAATTTTTAAAAAAATTAGAGTCAATTACCCATCGATGGGAAGAAGCACCCATCGATGGGAAGAGGGGTTCTAAAAAAAAGAAAACTTCCCTCCCAGCGATGGTATGGCCTACCCATCGCTGGTTCCCCCTGATTTCCAGAATTCTTCACTTCGAACCGTCCCTGCAAAAAAGAGTTAGAAAACCCTCCGACGCTCAAGTTAGTAAACATTCAAGCAAAGATAAAAGAATGATAAAATGCACAAATTAGATCATCGTGGAGTCAAGGATTCCGAGTTCACTACGAATGCGGAAGAACGACTCTTTCTCTAAAGGTTTTGTGAAAATGTCGGCTAATTGGTTGTGTGTTTCAACAAACTCAATTTCGACATCACCTTTGAGAACATGATCTCTAATGAAATGGTGCCTA